AAAACAAATATAATGTATAGCAACAACCTTCTATGTTGAAGGTCACAGCTCCAAACTGGGGTCAGGTCCCATTAGCAAAGAGGAGTGGATTTCATTCCTGGATCTGGATGTGTTTTGCGCAGATATGCATAAAAGCAGATTTATCGCAATTGTCTGCATCTTTCCACAAACAAGTCCAGATTGAATTTCACGAATGAAATCCAATCCTCTGTGCTAATGGAACCACTGGCAGGCCCTTGGAGTGAACGATTGCGGCTTGGAATTGGGGGAAAAAAAATTATTGGAACTATCGAATGGGAATACGGCATGGGACTGTGTGGGGACCACACTAAGGGGTTGGGAATTCCCTCCACTCCCCACCCCCCCCTTAACAGAGGGACTGGGAGTGGAGTTGACCATCGAGACTGTGCAATCGGGACTGGGAATCGGGACAAGGGACAAGAAAAGGGCGGGGGGACTTGGGAATCGGCAATCGGAATCGGCAATCGGGTTCGGCAGTCGGGATCGGCGGTTGGCGAGCGAAATGAGGACAAGGGTAATTATTGGGATTCCAACTCGGAATCAGAAGTGGGGTAATCACGGACGGGCCTACCTTCTTCCCCCGAATACAACGTACGGACGGTCATTATAGCTGTATCTAGACTGAAAGATGCCTCAAATACAGCTATAATAATGACTGTACGTTGTATTAGGGGGAAGAAGGTAGCTCAGTTGGGGTACACCCATGGACTGTTGAAATACAGACGCAAGTCCGAATTCAGATGGAATCAGATGAACAGAAAAACGTAATTCTCAGATGCCTGGGTGACTGGGTTCGGTCAGCTCAATGATGATCTCTGTTTTTTTTTTTTTTTTTTTTTTTTTTTTCCCTTAAATTTATTTGGACCAGTTCTCGATTTATGCGGGTCATCCTTGGGCAGGGGCCATGCTAATAATTAATCTTCTCTCTATCGTTCCAATTTTAACGGATGTCACAAAGGACCAATGATGATATCTTGAGGCCGTCACCATTTCAAAAAAAAGAAGAAAAGAAGAGAGAATAAAAAAGCGGTGGGCTTAAGTGGTAGGATCGCAATCAGGAATCGGAATCGGGATCGGAGTCGGGATAGCCAATTGAGTTGCGATTGGAGGACACACTAGAGAGGAAATCGTACCAATTGAATGCCCCCCTGCCCGGTGCGCAAAGTTTTGTTAATATCCCTTTTTTTTTTTCTTTTCTTTTTTCCAAGTTATTAATATCCGAAGCTGAGTAATGGCTCCATTATTCTCCTCCAATTTTGTGAGGAATTCCCGGCCTCAATCTCCTCCAATCCTTTTTTTTTTTTTCCTTTAAAAAAAGTTGAAAAAACACACATGCCATTGGATGATATAATCTCCTCCTATTTTCGTAATGAAATGCTATGATTCTTACCATCAATAAAAATAAAAATAAAAATAAAAATAAAAGATTCTGACGGCGAAATGGTCATTTACCTCCTCACTCAATGAATGCATCAGCATTTTCTAATGAAATGCATCAATGCATCAGCATTTCTGGCCAGTGTTTTTTTTGTGGGTAAAGGGCCCCGCCGGGAACGTATTGTGTAATAAAAGATTCTGACGGCGAAATGCTGATGCATCCATGTCTGATTCTTCGCACAAAAAAAAACACACACATGGATGATGATCCGATGATCTAATCTCCTCTGCGCAGGGCTCTTGTCGACGGCGAAATGACCTCCACACTCTGGCCATTATTTTTTTTTGTGTGGGTCAAGGGCCCCACCGGGAACGTATTTGCCAATGCTCTTTTTTTTTTTTTTTTTTTTTTTTTTTTTTTTTTTTTCCCCTCAAGGGCGACGGCAGGCCTTGAGATACTATCATTTCCGTCATTTAATATCTCAAAAAAGGGCGTGTTTTTTTTTGTCAGCTGGAAATGGAGGGAGAACCCGGCTGATGGGACTGACACGCTGGGGACATGGGAATTTAGACTGGGACAAGGGTGGTGTGGCACACCTACGTAACAGTGGGATTGGATTTTTTTCTCCTTTTTTTCAACGTTGCACTGGGATAGGAATAGGAGAAGAATGATGACAAGCAATTGCCAATTGCTTCTGCACACGCTCACTTAGAATCAGCAATGAAACTTCATAGTACGTGGTACATCATGATGCTGAAACGGGCACGTTTCCCTCTAGTACATGTTTTAACCGGCTGCGCACCGGTCTCATCAGGAGGCCATCCGCGATACCCAGCCTTTCGGCTCCCACCTGCACTATATTACCCATGAGCTTCGAGGACCATTGACTCAGAGGCCTTGCCCTCGACTTATAGGTAGAGCCTTCCCTTGCGAGTGCGGCCGAGCTTTCTGCTATGCTGTGATTGGCTCATCGATCCTACAGCGGATCTGACTACAGTCTTCCCCCGAATACAACGTACGGTCATTATAGCTGAATTTGGTGTATCTTTCAGTCTAAATTCAGCTATAATGACCGTACGTTGTATTCGGGGGAAGACTGTAGTCCGCGTAGCCGTCCAACCCGTCCGTCGTTCGTCAGGCCTCTGCGCCACGCTGTGGACTGCCCAGGTAATCTCAGGTAGTTCATTTCAAATTCGAATTTGCCACTTGCATACCTCTTCCCGCGCAGAATCCGTTATCCTTCTCCTAACTATTCCATCCACGCATATGATCCCACGTGTCGAGGCCCCCCTGCTGGGCCCTCCAGTAATCCCGTGCGTGCTTGAGTCCGTTACCATCCACCCCTTTTCCCCACCCCGGCTGGCCCCTTATGCAGCGCTTCTTATTTTCCGTACGTATCAGGCGCGGAACTAGGAATTCAAATCGCGCGTACGCTGCAACAATCTCCCTTGGTCTCGGCCAACATGCAGCAGTGTAGTATAGTTTTCCGCTACCTGTGTGACTGTGGGATCACTGCGAACGGTTGATCATCTGACAAACGGACGGTAGGATTACACAACCCGCCCTTTTGGAAGGGGAGCCAGCAGCCTACTGTTTGGTGATTGGTTGGGGTGTCATGTTGGGGTCACGTTGGGGATGCCAGGAGAGGCACGGCCGTTGTAGTTTTCTACGAGTTTTTTTTCAGATAGTTAAACTACACGGGGATTTTCCTCTTCAGTGAATGGAGGGGGAAGGTAAGGCCAGCTTTGGTTTGTCAGAGACTTGGCCCGAAGGAACTATGCCTGTCCAATAGGAGGAATAGGATGTGGCACACTCATGAACTGTTGAAAGGAAGACCTCAGTTCGATTCCTAATGGCACTAAATGAATGAAATCAAATAAGAAGATTATTCGACCTTCTTTTCCCGCCTTTTGGCGTCACACAGTTGTAGAAAACTAAACTACACGGCACATGTGGGCCAAGACCACGGAATGCAACTACCTTTCGTATTCTGCAGGCCGAAATTCCTCCTAAGGGGCTGAGATAGAAGTCCTACGGTAATAAGAGGAAATTCCTACTAGCAACTGGGTACGGGCCAGTTCAAAATTCCCTACCCGGATTGCAACTACCTACCGTATTCTGCGGGCCAAAATTCCTATGGGGCTGAGATATAAGTCGTACGGTATTGGGAGGAAATCACCGACGACGCTCGTTACCCTGGAATAAATTACAGATACAATTACAGATACAAATACAGATACAAATACAGATACAACTTACGCCTTATGCCACCCTAAACTTACAACGTGGAAAGCCTATAGGAGAAATACTGCGTATTTAACACTTTCCCCGCCTATGCTTGTGTACCATACTGTCGAGGATGGTTCTCCACGCATTCTCGGCAGCAATGGTACCCCTGGCAACCTCGCCAGGGCGGATGCAAAGGAAAAAAATAAATAAATCTAGATATCACTGTAGTGATATTGCAAAAAAAAAAAATAATAAAAAAAATCTAGGCTGTTTTTCCCGGGCGCCCGGGCACCCAACTTATGCCCGGGCACACGCTGGGGTGCCCGGCCGAGCATGACCCCCACGCAGGGTTCCGGACAGCCGCTGCGCCCAAAAAAAAAAGCATTCGAAAGAATCCGGAAAAAAAAATGTTGTGTAGAATTGCAATACAAACGACTTTTGGCTGAGGGTCGTATTAAAATTCCTCACAGATTCGGAGATGAAAAAGAA